CACATACACACACGTACACACATACACACACGTACACACATACACACATACACACACACACACACACACTCTCTCCTTTCTATATACAGCAAACAAAGAGCAATGAATAGGTCCCTTTTGTGGAGAGGAGTGGGACCCGAGTTAAGGGGAACAGTGTTTTAATAGCTTGTGGGACTAGACTAGACTCATCTATTTATTATGTAATTAAAATTAAATATAATTAAATAAACAAAAGAGAGCCAGCCCTTGAATCTACACAAGAAAGAAAAGCAAGACTACCTCATGGAGAAAAGCACAACTCTTTATCCTTTTCCTGTGCATCTTTAGACATAACCATTCCTTGGTAAACAGCGAACAGCAGTTTCACAACTGTGTGCAGCAGCATCACTATACCAGAGTTCTTACCTTTTGGTATTTAGTTAGATTTGATTTAATACTGCACTTCTCTCCAGAAGCAATCAAATTTTATTTAACTGCTCTGTTGGATTTATTTAATATCACACTTACTTCCGTAAGAGAATTTGAGATAGCATCACTCTACCAGAGTATATACTATACCTTTCCTGAATATATACTAGAGCATAAGAAAATTGTGTTATTGATTATTTGTACTGCTTATAAGTCCAAACAATTTATAGGACATTTTCCCAGAGGCTGACTTACAGTGGAGACTAACTCGCTTTGCTCTATAAACCTGAAGTCTCTGACTCTAGATACTATGAACAGGAGAAAAATGAGGACCTTCCCTTCCCTTGGTGACAAAGACCATTCAACTGAGTCAACCATGAACCTCCAACTCCCTTTTTATCTGAGCTCATCTGGAATGTCACCTAAAATTCAATGGAAAAAAACAATATACTATAGTTTAGTTACTTCCTCCTCTGGTTTTAACAGCAGGTTGTAATATTACAATATTACACAGGTATAGAAACATGACTGTATTTCTGGGTCTTTCTCTCTCCTTTCATCATGAGCCATATCTGGGACTATATCATAATACATTTCTGTATCACCTGCACTTATTTAATATTATGATTAGAACATAGTAGCAACTCCCAGATATTATCAAATAGATTTAAGTAAACAAACAGAAGACAGCCTGTCTCAAATCCTCTTATGGAGATAAGTGTGATATTAAATAAATAAATTCAACAAAACAGTTAAATAAAATTTGATTGCTTCTGGAGAGAACTGCAGCATTAAATCAAGCACTCTAACTAAATACCAAAATAAAACTTGATTCCTCCCTCCCCATCATTCCAACTCCCAATTCCTACCTCTATTCCAAATGTTAGCATTATGAAACCAATAGAATGCAGTCTAATAGGATAACCCTAACTACACATCAATAGGAGACGAGTTAGACTGTGGTAAAGCTATATAATGAATACTATGAATACTAATGAATATATGTGTTAATATGAAGCAATCTCCAAATATAATCTTTTTTAAAAATATATTTTTACTAAAGGCCCAGTGCATAAAATTCATGCACGGGTAAGGTCCCTAGGCCTGGCTGGCGATCAGGGCCTATCTGTGGGGCAACCAGTAGGGCAATCGGGGGGACCCCCCGCTGGCACCCACCTTGGCTGGCCTGGTACTGCCCGCTCGCTGGCCCCACCCCCCGCCACCACTGGTCACCTCCCTCTGTGGGGCGACTAATGGGACGATTGGGGGGGCGGCTCCCGCTGGCACTCGCCTTGGCTAGCCTGGGGCCTCTGGGCTGGGGGCAGCTCCTGCATTGAGCGTCTGCCCCCCTGGTGGTCAGTGAGCGTCATAGCGACCAGTTGTTCCTCCAGCCATTCTGCTGTTCGGTCAATTTGCATATTAGGCTTTTATTATGTAGGATTGATTTCAGACAGAGATAGAAACATCAATGATTAGAGATAATCATTGATTGGCTACCTCCTGCATGTCCCCAGGAATCAAGCCCGCAACCCAGGCATGTGCCCTGACCAGGAATCAAACCGTGACCTCCTGGTTCATAGGTTGGCTCAACCACTGAACTACACCAGCCAGGCTCCAAATATATTCTTAAGTGAAGAATATTATATGTAGTATGTTGCCATTTGCCTGGGTTTGTTTTTGTTTTTTAAGCAGAAAGAAGGATATATAAATTATGTTGATATTGGCCTAAAATCTCTCTCAAAGGAGTCACAAGAAAATGGTAAGACCAGGGTCTAGAGCAGTGGTTCTCAACCTTCCTAATGCCGCGACCCTTTAATACAGTTCCTCATGTTGTGGTGACCCCCAATTTCATTGTTACAAATTGAATATAATTAAAGCATAGTGATTAATCACAAAAACAATATGTAATTATAGATGTGTTTTCCGATGGTCTTAGGCGACCCCTGTGAAAGGGTCGTTCGACCCTCAAAGGGGTCACGACCCAAGGTTGAGAACCTCTGGTCTAGAGGTTCAGGGAAGGAAGAAGACTATTTTATTTTTTTCAGAACAGTTTTAAATTTACATAGAAACTGAGAAGAGAAGATAGTACAGAGGAATTCTCATACACCTTATACTCAATTTCCTTTATTATTAGCATGTTACATTAGTATGACACTTTTGCCACCATTAATGAACCAGTATTGATGTGTTACTATTAACTAAAGTCTACCATTTATTCAGATTTTTTTAGTTTTTACCTAATACCCTTTTTCTGTCCCATGATCCCATCCAGTATACTATATTACATTTAGTTGTCATTTCTCCTTAGGCTCCCCTTGTCTGTGACAGTTTGACTTTCCTTTTTTTTTTTAATATATTTTTATTATTGATCTTAGAGGGGAAGGGAGAGGGAGAGAGAGATAGAAACATCAATAATGAGAGAGAATCATTGATCGGCTGCCTCCTGCATGCCCCACACAGGGATCGAGCCCACAACCCGGGCATGTGCCCTGACTGGGAATCGAACCGTGACCTCCGGGTTCATAGGTCAACGTTCAACCACTGAGCCACGCCAGCCCGGCAAGACTTTCCTTGTTTTTGATGACCTTCACAATTTTGAGGAATAAGGGTCTAGTTTTCCACAGGATGACCATCTCATGGGTTTGTCTGTTTCCTTCGTGATTAGACTGGTGTTGTAAGTTCTTGGGGAAAAACCACAGAAGCGAAGTGCCATTTTCATCACATCATGTCAAGAGTACATGGTATCAACACAACTCAGTCACAGTTGATATTGAGAAGACTTGTTTTTTATCATATACGTTTTGTGCAGTGTGAACTTTTGCCTATTTAAATGATGTTTTCTAAGTTTTTGTCTTTCATAAATGAAGAGACAGTCATGCATTTTCAGCAGAGCCTTTGCCTTTCCTGAGCGTTTCACCAGATAATCAATTCCTGTTCCCTTCTGAAGCCACAAGTGCCATCTGTAGAACAGCTTCCAGGAGTGAAAGCAGAGGAATGCCACGCAGTGAAAGGGCTCACTGGACAACTGACACACAGCAGGACAACTGACCTTTCAAGAAGAAGATCTGTAACTAAATATCTGGCGTCAATATGGTCCTTGATGAAAGAACTGTTGTTACTCGCCACAAAGAACATCAAGCAACCCAGCAGCCGGAATGGTTAAACCCTCCATCCGCCCTTAAATAGCAGGAAAGGTGAGCTCTTTTTCTCGGCTTCACGCCATTTCTCACATGTCACTATTGCACCAAAGTTACAAATTCCTTTTAAAATTAAAAGGAATATCATAGACATACTTGACTTTCTCATTAATACACAACACAAGTTTCTCCCCATGACATTTTTATGACTCATCCATCAGCATAGTTTATGGAAAATTTGAAAAAGGGCAAGAGAAGAAATAAATCAAAACAAAAGCTGGCAAACGCACTACAGTTAGGCATCTTAAACTAAATATTTAACATTTCTTTTTTTGGGGGGGGTGTTTCACTTTGACATATTTACTTAATTATTAGAACTACTTTAAATCAATGTTACTAAACAAGGAGAATCCTGAGATTGGTTTTGGAAATTCAGAACTCTTAGCACCTTTCTTGCTTATCTACAAAAAACTTGCTTTTTCCCTCCATATTCTAATTACTCCTTAAAACCTCAGTTTTACAACTTGGTAGATGATCTTCAATCAGTTAGTTTTCTGGGCCTTTGCTTGTCTGTTTGTTGAGGGATTAGGATTTAGTAGGTGATTTTTTAAAATTCAGGTATAACTGACAAAACTGTAAGATATTTTAAGAGTATAAGAATGTGATGGTTTGATATAGGTATATACTGAGAAAGGATTCCACCCCCATCGAGTAACTTAACACATCTATCACCTTACATATTTCAATTTTTTTGGTGAGAACATTTAAATTCTATTCTCTTAGCAAATTGCAATAATACAATATACTAGTATTGTTATCAACTACAGCAGATCCTATATTAATGTCTTTCATTCAACATCATTTCATTATAATGTTGATGAGACGCTATAGGAATTTAACACTTGTTTATAAAATAATAAAAATAAGTAAGTAAAAATGGTGAGAGTAGGCATTATTGTCTTGTTCATGATCTTAGAGAAAAAGCTTTCAGCTTTTCACTGTTGGGTATGACATAAGCTGTGGGTTTGTCATATATGGTCTTTATTATGTTAGGTACATTACCACTATAGCCAGTTTGTTGAGAGTTTTTATCATGTAAGGATGTTGAATTTTGTCAAATGCTTTTTTTTAATCTATTGAGATAATCATAAGATTTTTATTATTCATTTTGTTAATGTGGTATATCATATTGATTGATTTGCAAATGTTGGACCATCCTGGCATCCCTGAAATAAATCTCATTTGATCATGGTATGATCCTAATGCAGTGTTCAATTCAGTTTACTAATATTCTGTTGAGAATTTTTGCATCTACATTAATCAGGGATATTGGTCTGTAAATTTTTTCTTGTAGTGTCCTGTCTAGCTTTGGTATCAGTGAAATGCCAGCCCTTAAAATGAGTTTGGAAGTGTTCCCCCTTCTTCTATTTTTTTGGAAGAGTTTGAGAAGGATTGTTGTTAGTTTTTAAAAAATTTGGGTAGACTTCTCCAGGGAAGACATCTGATCCTGGATTTTTCTTTGCTGAGAGGTTTTGACTGATTAAGTCTCCTTACTAGTAACTGGTCTGTTCTGATTTTCTATTTCTTCATAATTGAATCTGAGGTTATACAAATTTACCCTTTCTTCTACACTGTCAAAAATGTGTTGGCATATAATTGTTTGTACTACTCTCTAATGATTCTTTGTATTTCAGAGATGTCAGTTGTAACATTCCTTTCATTTGTAATTTTACTTATTTGGGCTCTTACTCTTTTTTTCTTGATGAGTTTGGTTAAAGATTTGCTAATTTTATCTATCTTTCTAATAAACCAACTTTAGTTTTATTGATTTTTCTTTTTTTTTTTTTACATATTTCTATTTTATTTATTTCCGCTCTAATCATAACTATTTCTATTTCTTTCCTTCTGTTTACTTTGAGTTTATTTGTTCTTTTTCTAGTTCATTTAGGTGTAGTTAGAGCTATTTGGAGTTTTTTTTTGTTTTTTGGGGGTAAGCCTGGATAGCTATGAATTTCCCTCTTAAACTGTTTTTGCTGCAAGTTTTGAAAACTTGGTGTTTTCCTTTTCATTTGTTTCAAGATAGTTTATTTCCTGTTTTAATTTCCTCTTTGATCCATTGGTTTAATAACATGTTATTTAGTCTCCACGTATTTGTGTTTTTTCCAGTTTTCTTCCTGTAGTTGATTTCTAGTTTTATGCCATAGTGGTTGGAAAAGATGCTTGATATGATGTCAATTTTCTTGAATTTATGAAGGCTTGTTTTTCTGCCTAATATATGATCTATTTTGGAGAACGTTCTGTATGCACTTGTAAAATGTGTATTCTGTGTTTGTTGGATGAAATGTTACATAAATATCTATCAAGTCCATCTGGTCTAATGTGACATTTAAGGTCATTATTTCCATATTAATTTTCTGTGGTCTGGATGATCTATCCACTAACCTGAGTGGCATATTAAAATCCCCTACTATTATTGTATAACTGTGTTACACAGCTTTTGAAGTGTTATTTTAAAGTTTTAATTAAAATATTATTTTACAAAAAGCTTTTAATAATTTGAGAAAATATTCAAGATGTAAAAGAAACAAAAAAGAAACAAAATTACATATACAGGTTTATTTTAAATATTTTTTAGCACATGAAAGAGACTAAGAAGGAATAGTCAAAAATGTTATCAGTGATTGCACTGACTGCCTCCTGATAAGAAATTGGGAATTTTTCCTGTTTTTGTATTTTAAAATACTAGCTGTGTAATTAAAACACTAACCACAATGTATTAAAACTAGTAATGCAAAGAACCATGTTAACACTCAGATTATGATTAATTCTGCAAAAGAATAGGAAGTGGCCTCAATGAAATGATATAGCACAACTACCACTGCACTTATCCAAAAGATAAGGGAGTTGCCTTTTACGTACCTGTGAATCTGCCCATTTTTATGCAGGTATTCCAACCCTTCCAACACTTCTTTGAGTATTGTAGCAATGGCAGGCTCGTCTAGGACTCCACTTTTGTGTTCCCCCTTCGCCACAATGTGCTTAATAATGTCCAGAACAGAACCTGAAAACAGAAGACAGTTTTCCATAAAATTTTAACTAATTCAACGATTCAGAGACATTTTGAAATCAAATTATATGTAAACCTTTTGATAAACTGTTTGGGAAATAAAGGAAAAAACAGCAAATATAAAGAAATACAAAAGTTTAAGATTAATAATTTATTCTCAATTCTAATCTAAAACAGAAAGTAGCCTGCTAATAGCCAAACAGTAGTGTTAAACAAGCATCATCTTCAGACTTATGAGAATTAGTAGAGAACTTTTAACCACCTCTGAAGAATACTTAGGTTAACCACGCCCATCAATTAACACTTTAACATAAGGTATCACAAACCAGTTTAAGTTCCAATACCAGATTAGTGTGTACAATATTATGTGAATAGAGAAAAAAAAAATGAAATGCAAGTCAAATTACAGAATAAATACTTGGAAAGAAAAAACCATATGTGTATTCAAACTGACTTAAGAGCTAAAATTATGTTTCAGGTTAATAAATAATAGAAATAAAAATTTTTAAAAAGAAATACAATAGGAAAGGCAAAGAAAAGTTAAAATGGTAGTTCTCTTTAAATAATAGCCCACATGTATTATCAATCCCATTCTTCCCAGGGTGAGAAATAATGCCCATTTCTTGGCATAAGACCTTCATGACCAAGACTAAAATGAAAACAAATGCCACTTTTGTTGACAACTTGCCCTGGTGGGTATTTACATTTCACTTAAATAGGTGAAAAGAAGCAGTCTAGATGAAAACATGGGAGGGTTGAACCCATGTTCACTTTAGCTCCCACTTGAATTTCCAGTAACTTGATGAACTTGATTTTTTTAAAAATGTTTTTATTGACTTTACCTAGAGTAAGAGAGAGGGATAGAGAGATAGAAACATCGATCAGTTGTCTCCTGTACAACGCCACCCAGGGATTGAGCCCACAACCCAGGCTGTGCTCTGACCAGGAATTGAACCAGTGACCTCTCAATTCATGGGTTGACACTCAACCCCTGAGCCACACTAGCAGGGCTAAAGTTGATTTTTTTAAAAAGGGCATAAAGCCCTGGCTGGTTTGGCTCAGTGGATAGAGTGCCAGCCTGTGGACTGAAGAGTCCTGGGTTCCATTCCGGTCAAGGGCACATGCCTGGGTTGCGGGCTCGATCCCCAGTTGGGGGTGTGCAGGAGGCAGCCAATCAATGATTCTCATCACTGATGTTTCTATCTCTCTCTCCCTCTCCCTTCCTCTCTGAAATCAATAAAAATATATTTTTAAAAAACAAACAGTTTTCATGTTTAAAAAAATAAAAACTAAAAAATAAAAAAGGCATAAACCTAGAACAAAGAATAGAACAAGAATGATAACAGAAGAGAGACAATAATTTTTTGGAAGAAGGAAAACAGAAAAAGAAAAGGTAACTGACTACTTTTGCAGAGTGGAGAGATCTGAAACTTCAATGCCTACTGAAGGCATGCCAATTAGGAAAAAGTGATGTCTACCTAGAGTTTCAGAAAGGCTCAGAATAGAAGGACCACAAAAGGGGAAGAGAGGGGGAACTGAAGGAAAGGGTTGAAAACGGGAAAACTGGTTGAAAGTTCATATAAGGGAGAATAAGATCCCCAGACCCGCCCTTCCCCCTCTGGAAGCCAGCCACTGTCTGCATCACCAGCAGGAGGCAAGCAGTTTACTCTCTGTAGAACAAGAACCCGGGAGGCTCCAGATACTCGGTAACTTCTCCATACATTACCTCACTTCCCCTCTTTAATGCTGGGTTTCACCAGACATCCACAAAGGGGGAGGACTAAGGGATAACTTTAGTTCTGCTAAGTTTAAGCAATCACACATTAATCCCCAAAACAAAGTGACTACACTAACAAGCCACATACTTCATTATTCTGAGAAATCCAGACCACATAAGAAATGCTTAGTAAGAAGATAGCTGTATAAATGCCAATTGAGTTACATGTTTGTAACGTAAGGAATATCTAAATTAGAAATACAAAGGAAGAAATTTCTACTAGGAATTAAAAGTTAACACAATTTATTCATTCAACAATTAAAACATATTACATGCAATATCTAGAACTGGGTGCCACAGAATATGTCGAGATATATATGGCATGACTGCTGACTTTCTAGAATTTCAGGCTGATGGGTCAGGGAAATGGATCAACAGAAACCCTAGGGCACATAAAAAGTTTAAGAAGTTTGAAATAGGAACTCCTTTTCAGAATCTTAGATTTTTATTAATTTCACATCATCTAATGATCAATGGGGAAGTTAAAGCAATGCACATCCCCAGTCTACATCCAGAACAGATACTGAACAAGGCTTCATATGAAGCCCCTGGGATAACAATGTCTTTTCCATTTCAGTCTCCAGCAATATAATTTTTATAAGTGGAGGGATGATCAATCCACTAAGATCATCATCTATTTTTTTTTTAATTAAATTGATTGGGGTGACATTGGTCAACATGTGAACCTATAGGTTTCATGTGTGGGTTTCTATGTTACAAGATCTGTATATTGCACCATGTGCCCACCATCCAAAGTCAAATCTTCTCCTGTCACCTTATATTAGGACCCTCTCCCCTCTGCCAACCACCATTCTGCTGTTTGTGTTCATAAGTTTCAGTTTTATATCCCACATGAGTGAAATCATATGGTTCTTAGCTTTTTCTTACTTATTTCACTTAGCATAATGTTCTCAAGGTCCATCCATGTTGTTGCAAATGGCGCTATTTCATCCTTTCTTGTGGCTGACTATTATTCCATTGTGTACCACATCTTCTTTATCCAGTCCTCTATTGTGGGACACTTTGGTTGTTTCCATGTCTTGGCCACCGAGAATAATGCCACAATGAACATAGGGGTGTACAAAACATACCTTTCCAAATACATGATTTCGAGTTTTCTAGGTATATACCCAGGAGTGGGGTTGCTGGGTCATATGGTAGCTCTATTCTTAATTTTGTGAGGAATCACCAGACTGCTTCCCAGTGATGATTCCAGTCGACATTCCCACCAGCTGTGAATGAGGGTTCCTGTTTTTCCACGACCTCTCCAACACTTGTTATTGTCTGTCTTGTTGTTAATGGCCACTCTTAACAAGTATTAGGTGGTATCTCATTGTAGTTTTTATTTGCATTGCCCCTAATTGCCAGGGAGGTTGAACATCTTTTCCTATATCAATTGGCTGTTTGTATGTCTTCTTGGGAGCGGTGTATTTTCAGGTCCTCTGCACACTTTTTGATTGGATTGTTTGTTTGGTGTTGAGTTTCCTTTTGAGCATATCTGATCTTCATCTTTCTTTGCCAGTTCGGACCTTCCCCCTTTCCCTTTTATGTTTTTGTTGTCACAAATTATCCCTGTTTATGCTGTACGTTTTTTGATGATCTTACTTGTAGTGTTGTGACCTTAATGTTCTTTGTTTCAGGTAGAATAATTCCCTTGAATATTTCCTACAATGAAAGTTTTATGGTGATAAAATCCTTCAGTTTCTGTCTGCCTGGGAATGTCTTTTTTTCTCCTTCATATTTAAAGGATAATTTTGCAGATGTATCATTCATGGCTGGTAATTTCTCTCTTTCAGACATTTAAATATTTGGTCCACTTTCTTCTGGCTTGTAGTTTCTGCTGAGAAGTCAGATGAAATTCTGATGGGTTTGCCTTTGTAAGTCACATCCTTCTTTTCCCTGGCTACTTTGAGAATGTTTTCTTTCTCATTAATTTTTGACAGCTTCATTACCAAGTGCCTTGGAGAAGGCCTCTTTGGATTGAGGTAACTAAATGTTCTGTTTGCTTCTTGGATTCAAGGATCTAGTTCTTTCCATAGATTTGGAAAGTTCTCAGCCACTATTGGTTTTAATAGACTCTCCATTCCATGCTCCCTGATGGAGTCATAGTGTCTTGTAGTGCTCTTTCATTTTTCTTTATTCTCAGGTCTCTCTCTTCTTCCCTCTGCATCATTTCTTGATTCCTATCTTTAATATCACTAGTTCTTTCCTCTAACTGGTTTGTTCTGTTTCCTATGCTCAACAATTCACTCTTAATCTACTTAATTGAATGCTTCATTTCCAGGATTTCTGATTCTTTTTGAACGTTTCAGTGTCCCTGGAGAAATATTATTTTGTTCATTGATTTGTTTTCTTTCTTTTTTAAAAATATATTTTATTGATTTTTTACAGCGAGGAAGGGAGAGGGACAGAGAGTTAGGAACATCGATGAGAGAGAAACATTGATCAGCTGCCTCCTGCATTCTCCCCACTGGGTATGTGCCCGCAACCAAGGTACATGCCCTTGACCGGAATCAAACCTGGACCCTTGAGTCCACAGGCCGATGCTCTATCCACTGAGCCAGACCGGTTGGGGCTTGATTTGTTTTCTGAGTCCACTGAATCACATCTCGTTGAGTATTTTCAGAACTGCAATCTTGAAGTCTATCATTTATATCACGTAATTCCTTGTGTTCCAGCCTGCTTTCTGGGGATTTTTTCATTTTCTTTCTGGTCATCATGGTTACTGTGGTTCTTCATGGTATTTGCTGCCCTCCTTTGTTTCTGCATTTATCTCTGAAGAGGTCCTTCTACTATGTTCCAGTAGATGGTGCTGAATCGCAAGATTTTTACCTCTGAAGTCTCCCAGATTTGAGCCTCCTTGGCTTCCTTAGGACAGTACTGAAGTACTGCTTGGGGTGGGTTTTGTTTTGCCCTCACCGTAATGGCAACCCCTGACCTCCGTAAGGTCCCAACCCAAGCACCCCTCCTGGAGATCAGTCACAGGGGGAAGCAGTGATTCTATTGCAACAGCTCTTGGTTAACAGATAATATGCTCCTGGAGCCAACTCCAAGGGCAACAGGAGGCGAGTTTAAGCAGCGGCAGGGCTCTGTGGTTTCCTCTCTTTGTCTGAAAACACCACTGCCGGACCCAGCAGTAGGGAGCACAGCAGAACCCCATGCTCTGTCAGGCATCTGCAGACTTAGTCACTGTTCGCCCCTGCTGCTCTGCTCACAGCAGCTCGCCCTACTGGGCTGCCCGCCCGCACGCGATAGCACACACTCTCTATTCCTCCTGGCAGAAGGAAGTGCCTACTACCATAGGCTTTCTCCCCGCTCCTGGCTGGCCTGCGAGCTCCCAGCTGAGCCACAAGCTCCCAGCTGCATGGCTGAGTCTGTGCTTTCCTCCTTTCCCATCTCCTCGTTTATTCCCGGATGCACACCTTTAGGCATCCGTGTGCGGGTCTCCCAGGTGTGCATCTGTGTTGAGCAGGGACTTCTTTGTTGAATTATAGATGGTTAACTTGTTGAAATGTCAGGGGGAGAGGAAAAGATGTGCCCTCATACCGCCATTCCTCTGATGTCACTCTAAGATCATCACCCTTGACTGAAAAATTTTGGTCCTGAAAGGTCTCCCCTTCTCGGCCTCAGCATGTTGCAGCATCTAAGCCTACAGGTACCTTTTCTCTTTCCTTCCCAAAGCTTTCTTAATTGCTTTGATTTCTAAAAATCTTATATTGCAGTTTGGTGCTAATAAATTGTAGAAATAGCTATGGGGATCAAAAGTGCTCCTAATTTCTAAACATAACTTCCTATACTGATAAATCTCATTATTCAATATCAGAGTTTTAATTAGCAAAAGATAAGGATATTACAGTTACAAGGAAGCATTATGAAATAATAATACTGACACACTGAAACTTATTTTAACTATGATGTCCACGTGGTTAATGGGTTTGAGAGTGACAGTTGCAATTTATTTTACAATTTAATTAGCTTATTAAATTCTACAACAGTACAATATTGCCAAATCAAAAATATGCATTTGTTTTTAATATTTTGGCTGAAAAGGTTGATGTGAAAGAAGGTAGCCTATACACTTTTCTGTCAATGCTGGTTATATATATTTTTTAATTATCAAAAGGTCTCCTGTTACTCTCCCTGCTGCAGCTGTGATTCCCTCATCAGTTCCCAAGACACACCACACCCCTCCATCCTGCCTCCAGACAATTCTCTGTACTGTGTTCCCTCTATCCGGATCCCTTCTCCATCCTTCCTCTGATACCATCTCCACTGGCTTCAGCTGAATATCACCTCCTGAGGGAAGTCTTTGTTAACCCCACCACACCCATTCTCCCTCAATAAGGTTAAGTTTTCCTGACTTATTCCCATGGCACCTAATACTTCTTCATGGCACTCTACACACTTACAATTATTTAACTATAATTTTTCCTTACTAGCTATGAGATCCATAAGAGCAAGGACCAACAGTTTGATTCACCAACGTATTGGTGATCAATAAGTATTTGATGAATGGAATTTTAATTGAGCTATCTTGATACAGTTTCCTTCTATTAAAAAAAAATTAAAGTTGTGCTTAGTTCTACCTACTATATTCTAATATTGCACAATGTATCTCTAAAGGTTAAATGTGTATTCACTGTGTAACTACAAAAGCAAGATTTCATTTTCTTTATAAAGATGCAAAATTATTACTATTTTAAAATGTTTAGATGTAAGATTACACTGACTCATAAAACTATAAGTAGTTATAAAAAAAGAATTAATGCCTGAAAAAAGAGTTAATGTTTGAAGATTATCCTTCAGGAAATCTGCTAAGTGCTAGGCTAAAAAAATGGGCACTGTCCTAGGACCAGGAAGGGCAGGGTCGTACATTTAAAAGACACCACCCAACACGGTCAGTGTGGCTCAGGTTGAGTGTCAACCTATTAACCAGGAGGTCAAGGGTCTATTCCCGGTCAGTGCACATGCCTGGGTTGCAGGTTTGACCCCCACTAGGGGGCATGCAGGAGGCAGCCAATCGATGATTCTCTCTCATCATTGATGTTTCTATCTCTCTCTCCTACTCCCTCTCTGAAATCAATAAAAATAAAAAAATAATAAAAGGTACCACCCAGAAACATGTCCTGCCCTTTCTGTGTTCAGGACATTTACTCACTAAGAGAACATGGAGTTATATATATAATTCTGCTTAGGAGTTTAGCAGAAAGAACAGGCTGGCATACAAGTGTGGGATGAAAAAATTAAGCAGACAATTTATTCCTATTCATCAGAGGACTTTTTAGCAAACATTAAAAACTTTGTATAATACAATTTTGTAAATTAATAATGCAATAAGTGAGCAATAACGAAAGATACAGAATTACCTAATATTCCCATATCTGTCCATACTGAAAGAACCATGCTTGACCACCATCTTGAAAGGTGGTTGCTGTTAGCAAGGCTTCCAACCATCATATGAACAAGGCCCTTAACAAAGCAATCCAGTTCCTCCAGAGTGTCACTAATGGGATTGAAACAAAAAGGTGATTCTGGCTACACTGAAAAGCATCAAGTAACAAGGGACTATTCTTCTTAATGACTAATTCTTGTGCACCTTACTACATGTCAGCATGGTGATGGAGGCTTTACCATCTCATTCACTCTTCCCCAATATCCTGAAATGCAGACAGTTATCCTCATTTAACAAACAAGTACATAGGTTCAAAGAGTTGAAATAGTTTACCCAATGACATATAACTGCTAGTAGGAAAGTTAAAATTTAATTCTAAAGCCTATGCTCTTTCCTTTATAACTTCTCTGGGGAAGTAAAGTGATTAATGAGGTATCATATTAAGATTGCAAACAAATATGGACTCTCTCTGCTGTAACTGTGCATTCTAAAATGGAAGATCATGCTCCCATACAAAATACATGTGCAAACAAAACCAAGAAGGCTAGTGATGGGAAAGTCAGGTGGCTCCATCCCACTCCCGCCACAGGATTCAAATCCATGCCTTAGCAAAATGTCTACTTTACTACATGGCATGGGCCTTCAGGTAACCGTAACAAAATGTCCAATCTATACATGCCAAGGGCCCACTGTTTATAATCACAATACTTACATTTTATTCTAAGGACTAAAGCAGAAATGACTGCATATTTACTGCAGGATAAAGCACATAATTAATCATATTAATGCTGGGGACCAAGATTTTTTGTATAATAGAAATGAGATTCAAGTGTAATTTGAAAGTTTTGAAGGTCTATAACAGTGGTTCTCAACCTTCCTAATGCCGCGACCCTTTAATACAGTTCCTCATGTTGTGGTGACCCCCAATTTCATTGTTACAAATTGAACATAATTAAAGCATAGTGATTAATCACAAAAACAATATGTATTTATATATGTGTTTTCCAATGGTCTTAGGCGACCCCTGTGAAAGGGTCGTTCGACCTCCAAAGGGGTCGTGACCCACAGGTTGAGAACCGCTGGTCTATAATATTAAAATTGAATTGGAAGCATTAATGTCAAATCATGACTTATTTTTAATATACATTTCCAAGGTCTTACAACTAGAAGAAATGATGAAGTAGCAGCAAAGAGCATCCCAAGCATCCAAGTGGCTTTCTAAATACCATCCCCTATAGAAAAGATCGGAGATCCTTAGAATGTTGGCTGGTTCTGGGTCTGAGAAAAGCAATAGAAACCTGAGCCTGGGAAATCTTGAACCATAAAACAAGGAAGTTATCAAAAATTGATGGATTCATGTCAAAAGGACACAAGAGAAAGACTGAGGGGACTCCCACTGACAAAATTTTGGGCAACCTGAGCATCAAAAGAATAGATTATCATTTATTGAAATACACTGACTATATAAAAATCCTTGAGCCTATGTACCTATTAATATTTTTTTAAATGACAGCCTTAACCAATGGGGAGTGGGAGGATCCTCTCATTTGGCACCACTGGAGTGATTATTAAATTAACTCTTTAATATAGAGATTACAATACAGATTAATCAAAGAACCCCAGTTAATAAGGTAAGGTTTTTTTACACATAAGAATGCCAGTTTATAAATGTAAAAGAAAGGATGCAATAAAGGAAAAACCACCATTCTGCTGTCCCTGATAAATGAACTGATTCAAACAGGATTGTTACTGAATACTAAAATCATTAGACAAAAGACTTACGGGGAAATAAATACTCAGAGTGTCAAAGTATTATCTCACAAATTACCTACTAGCTACAAAGGGGAAAAAAGTTAACCTTTCCATGGAGCAGCCTGGTTATCATAATCTTAAGCAATCAAAATTAACATCCCCATTAAAGATACACCAGATGCCCGGCCAGGGTGGCTCAGTGGTTTGAGGGTCGACCTATGAACCAGGAGGTCATGGTTTGATTCTCAGTCAGGGCACATGCCCAGGTTGTGGGCTCAATCCCCAGTAGGGGGTGTGCAGGAGGCAGCCAATCAAATGATTCTCTCTCATCATTGATGTTTCCATCTCTCTCTCTTGCTCCCTCTCCCTTCTTCTCTGAAATCAATAAAAATGTTTTTTAAAAAAGATACACTAGATAACAAATCCTTCCTGACATGATGCACTATGAAGTACACCACATCACCTACAAAACACCTGTCAAAAATATTCAACTTAAATCTAATCAAGGCTTTAGATCTAACTTTAGATTTGCAAGGAATAGAGGAATATAAATCAAGTTAAACATCACCATACAGAAACAACTTGACAAATCCAGAATGTGGAACATTCTACAAATAGTTACCATTAGACCTTTCAGACCAGATCCTTCAACAAGTTCATGTCATGGAAGAGAGGAAGCAGGAGGGAACCATCCTAGATTAACACAAACTTAAGAGGCATGACAACTGCATGCAATCCGTGAGACCTGTCTCAGCTCATACACTAGCACTGTTAACAGACACTATATGCTCAGTATCTCCTCACATGCAAATATCCATGAAAACCAAACCAGAATAGAAAAGAAGAACATTTTTATTAACTTTCCAACCTATGGAAATTGACACCTCATTGCATTTTACTCACCTCCACTTAGCAGCTTCATGACTAGCCACAGCTCATCTTTTACTACAAACGACGTGTAGTAAGACACAATGTTAGGATGATGGCACTGACTCATGGCTTGAATTTCTTTCTACAAAGAAGAGAAAACATGATAACTCATTATATGCAGGCCTGAAACAACACTACAAGTTAGTGAACACAGCCTGGGAATCCCAAGACTATGCCACAACCTTCCTGGGATCTCCATGGCCCGGACCTCTTCGCGAACAGTTCCAACCAGAACCACTTAGTTACCCTCAGTCCATTCTGACGCTTCTCCTTGACTCACTGCATCAGTAATCTGTGAAGCCGGAAACATGGACTGTGCACCACACCCTGGCCTGGCACAGGACCACAGAGGCCTCCCCGGGGACACATATTTTTACTGCAAGGTGCCCTTGGAGAACCATCTTGGGAAATCTGGCTTTACAGCCAGAAAGGATCATTACTAATAAATAGAGGGTGCTCTTTGTTTGTTTGTGGGTTGTTGTTTTCTTTCAAAATATTGTTTCATCCCATTTTTGTGAAATGATTAACAACTCTCACTCTAAAGAGAAATATACTGAAACAGGGCAAGGTCATAAACTAAATCCAAAGTAGAAGTCTGAGCCAAAAGTCTAAGCTTACACAACTTCCATTAGTGAATTTAGATTAGGTTTGGTATGATGATAAAATGCCTGCTAAGGGTTGTTTTCTTTCAAAATATTGTTTCATCCCATTTTTGTGAAATGATTAACAACTCTCACTCTAAAGAGAAATATACTGAAACAGGGCAAGGTCATAAACTAAATCCAAAGTAGAAGTCTGAGCCAAAAGTCTAAGCTTACACAACTTCCATTAGTGAATTTAGATTAGGTTTGGTATGATGATAAAATGCCTGCTAAGGCCCTGAGTGATCAGGGCCCTGCTCACCTCTCTAGTCTCATTCCTACTCCCTCATCCTTACACCCCAACGTAGCCCCGTCCTAAGGTCCAGCCAAGTCACTTCAAGTGAGCCATGCTTCTTCTAACCACGGACATTTAACCCCATTGTTCCCTCCGCCTCAAATACCGTCCCCTCATTATTTCTGCCTAGCTAAACCTGCCAATGCTTCCTTCTGAACTCCCAGATCCCCAGGCTGAGTTAGGTATCCCTTCTCTTGGCTTCTACGCTCCCTGTATATATCCTTACATCATAGTACCCCGGGGCCTTGGTTGTCTGTCCCTCCTTGCAAGACAGAGAGCTCCTAGAAGGCAAGTACTTAAAAGTGTATTCCTAAGCATCGTGGAACTTGGCACACTATATGTAATTGCCCTAGTTATGTTTCTGTATCCCTCATAAAACTGGAAACTCAAGGAGAGCTAAGACTCTATTTCTGGCACTTATCACTGTGCCTGGCACACCTTCAATAAATATTTGTTGAATGAATGAATCCTACAGCACTTCATACAGTTTTTTACTGATTCATGTATTTGTTTAGTAAAATCAATTGTGTAAAAGTTGCCCATAATCCCTGCTTGATAAGAAGTGCTCAATAACTGCCAGTTTTTCTTTCCTCATCTTCTCTACTTGAATGTAAATTGCTTTGTGGCAAGGACCTGTTGCGTGTATTGCTGCAACCCCCAAGTCACCAGCACAATCTTCTGTACTAAAAGCTAAGTAAACATGAAGGAAAGGAAGAAGGAACTAAAGTAAGCACCTGCCCGCTAACATAGTTATACAGGATTCGAAGCGCTAAGTACATATGAGAGGGAATACATAGGACAGCACATATATGTGCTGAGATTTTACAGCGGTACAGGTGAAATGCACATATAATTATTTTTAAAAAGATGAAATATGCAAGGAAGATTATAGGGCCCAATGAGTAAACCTGTCTGGGGTCAATACTTCATGCTTTCAGCAGATATTTACCAAGTGCCAACTGTATGCCAGGCACATTAGGTGCCTGGTCACTATGGTGAGCCCTCAGGAAACGTACAGTCTGGTAAAGAAGTAAGACAAATCCTAATTTACAACACAGACCGAAGAACAGTTTGATAGGGGAGGTACAAGATACTACATGACTTTATCCGAGAGGCAAATTATCGAAAAATAGGAGTGATCATCAGGGAAGGCTTCCTGTAACAAGTTTGACTTCACTGATACTGAAATAAGAAAGATAAGTAGGTTTTTACCAGTTTTGATTGTTTAATTACCTGGGACCACATAAAAAAGGATCTTATAACTATATTCAAGATTTTAAATTTCATCCTTAGGGCAATGGAAAGGAATCAAAGGTTTAACTATATTTCTTTTTTCATAACACTCACTCTGGCTACCGTGTAAAAAATAAATGAGAAAAAGCAGGACCAGAGGCAAAGCCTCTGTTTAAGGCTGTTGCCATGATCTGGGTGAGACGGTGGTGATCTGAAATACAATAAAAAGCTAATTCCTCAGTTTTTATAACTGTACTGTGGTTATTCTACTATTAGGAGATGTTGAGTGAATACCATATGGAAACTTCTGTACCACTTTTGCAACTCTTTTGTAAATTTAAAATTATCTCAAAATAGAAAGTTAGAGAAAAGCCTGTGATAAAATGTCTGGAGGAAATAAATGTAAGATCTGGTAGCTGATTTCCCCATCACACTTAGCAAAGGTTGTCAGACAAGAAAACATTTTGACAAGAGAAAGGAGCAACATATTGCCTCCTCAGTAATAACTGTCACATACGCTGCACCCCTGCAGTCAGCACTCGCTGGAGAGCCCAGAGCGCCTTCTGCATTATAATGAAGTTACTGTGAAATCACCACATCTGAAGTTTACTGTGTTGACCTACTAGGTTTTTTTAAGGTAAACTGAAGGGCTTCCTATCTCTCAGAGATGGAGCCTTTGGCACTCAGACCGCTGGCTCTGACACCATGAACGCCACAAATAAATCCGGCATTATTTATACTTCTCATGTGTCTGCAGGGTTAGTGGGAGCTTACCTTTGTGCCCCTCCCCCACAAAAGCCAATTATCTTAAAATTGCTTTACTAAAAGTCACTTCCCCCAACCTTTACTTATTTGTCACATACATAAATACTACATTTGTAACAGAAAGCTTACTGGAATATGTGGCCAAAATTTATGGAGATCTAACTGATGTTTTTTCCTTTAATTAGGCTATATCAAATTTCCTTTCTTCTAAAAGTAAGGCCCTATTGTAATAATACAAATATTACTTTTAAGAATGTCAAATTATATTTGAAAAGAGATGCTCTTTCTAATTTTGAACTAAGATTATAATCATTTTGTATTATATGAAGTAGAAAATAGACTTTAGTCAGAAAGACCTGATTTTTAATCCAGACTGTCATTATCATATGATTTATTGCCTTGCAATAAAATGCAGCAACTACCCATCTCACAGAGGTGTTTGTGAGGTTAAAGTACACGTCAGTGCCTGCCACTGAAAAGATGTGTGCTATTACTTCCATGTGAACTTAGTCAAGTTATTTAAACTTTGAGCCTCAGTTTCTGTAATCATGAAGTAATGAATAAAACTTTCATTCATCTTTACATTATGTATTATGTAAATTAACTGGCAAATAGTAGAAATTCATTTAGAGCTTCTCAAATTCCAGGCTTAATATATAAATTAAAAATGTTGTTTTTCTTTAATAGAATTAGTTTACAATTTAGACTTCTTTTATGATCACTGTTGTTCAAATGTCCAAATGATGCTCTAAGGTGTTGCTGGCATCTGTAAACCCAAGTTCATCAAATAGGGTTTCAATCAGCATCTCCATCCAAGTGTGGGTTCTCTCACCAAAGACAGCTCTAGATCATGCCAGCAACCGAGTTCCTCAGCTTCTGTCATGCATTACCAACACCTGAAGAAACACATTTGTCTCATCTTCTAAAAGTTCAACATAGAATTCTATTCCCTCTCTTCCTTTTATTTCAATTATTCCCTAATACTCTGTACTGACTACCCCAGAAGTTAAATCTAATCTGGGACACTGGAAAAAAACTTCTGACTGTCAGATCATCCTAGTCCTAATCCTGCTCTATCACTAGCTGAATATGATCTCAGAGAATTTACTTAATAAAATAACAATATTAATTCATAATTGTACGGCAGTTTATAAAGTTTTCAAGTACTATGTCACTTGATCTTCAGGAGAAACCTCATAAAGTCCATTTTAAGCCGAAGAAATCAACAATTTAAAAAGGAATGATTTGAAAAGCTATCTTATTTCCCTTGCTGAAATACTTAAAACTACTACATTTACTACTTACTTAAAACTACTCTGGGTGTCATGGTGCATAAAAGTACAAAACAATCCCTGTGTGGCTAGCTTTCAATGCCAGAGAACATCTCTTAAGGCTATGGATCCTTGGGACTCTTTCTTCTCCCTTTCCCTAGCCTTTACGGAAGCCAGTGTTGCCTGGGTCATTCTATCTATCTCTCATCTCCCATCAATGGATATTCCATTTGACCCAGGAATCACAATTGCAAGATACTATTTTTAGGAAAGAGAGAAATAAGCAAGCATCCTTTATAACAATAAAAAAGAAGAAGCAAGGTAATGGTCCAATACCAGAGAATAGGGTAAAGTGTGGTCTACTTACTCAATGGGATACTACACACTTATTGAAAATTATATTCGTATGTATAGACACAAAAAATTGTGATAAATTTTTCAATAAAAAAGAACAAGTATATGATTCACATTATCATAAATATAAAGAGATGTTTAAATGTGCAGTCTGAAAGATTATATAGCAGTGTTAATTTCAGAATGAGAGGATTATCCTATTAATAAAAGCCTAATATGCTGTGTCTGGCCATCCATTAAATCAATCAAAGCGTAATATGCTAATGATATGCTAAGGCCACTCAAACGCTCACTATGAAGTGCACTGACCACCAGGAGGCAGACAGTTGATCAGTTGACCAGTTGCTATGACATGTACTGACAAACAGGGGGCAGACGCTCCAACGGGTAGGTTAGCTTGCTGCTGGGGTCCGGCCTATCGGGACTGAGCAAGATGGGCCAGACATGCCCTGGAGCCCTCCCGCGGTCCCTCCCCGGCTGGCCAACCTCCCACATCCCTCCCCAGTCCCTCAGTCTGGCCTGCACCCTCTCACAATTTGGGACCCCTCGGGGAATATCGGAGAGCTGGTTTCAGCCCAATCCCGCAGGCCAAGCCAAGGGACCCCACTGGTGCATAAATTCGTGCACTGGGCCTCTAGTAACTATATATTCTCTCTCTACTTACCTGAATTTTTATGTTTTACAATAAATATTACTATTAATGAAAAAAATCACATACTTTTAAAAAAGGAACAAAAAAACTTCAAGTTATTTCCCATTCCAACATGAATGTACAAGAGTACACCTCTCCACTTAAGAAATATGAAACGTGCATACCAGGAGCTCATCCATGCTAGTTTGACATTTCTCAAGGTTTATCCGTTTGATTGCCACTTTCTCCTTTTTAGGGGCACAATATGCTGCTTGGACCACAGCCGTTGCTCCACTCCCTAAAGATAAATACATAAAAGAGTAAATGATTAGATGGGTAGATAAAAACATGACATTTCTAATTCCCACACAATTTAAATGAGAAGTTAACCCTTATCTTGTTCCTACACTCAATAGATGCAAAGAAACACTCTATAAAGCTACGTGTCTATAAAAGCAAAAGCCTCAACTATTTCATAGAATTGCCAGTAAATACCAGTACCAAAAATAAAAAATAAAAATTGCTAGGGTTCCAGTTCTAGAATTTGATGGTATAGGCCCACATTTCTCTGATCCTTGCCTCTAAATACAACTAAATGCCCTGGAAATAACTCAACAATCATAAAGTGCCTATGAAATGTAGAAAGAAGGTGAACTGGCTAAGGACCTCAGAGTGTGAGGAAAAGCACCACTGTGAGTTCACTGGGTTTTCCATTTATCGCCCAAATATCCATGAATGGGCTCCAGGACAGCCTGCAACCTGAAACCACCAATAGGGATAGACAGACAGACAGACAGACAAACCAGAAGATCCTGCTTTCTGGCCAAAGGACTGTGAAAAGGGAAGCTAGGCACAGACCCGGAGGGAGGCAGATTCCCCCATCCCTACCCAGGACAGTGAGGGAGCCAACCTACCACAGCATCAGTCAGCAGCAGCAGGGTGCCCCCGACCCAGACAGCAGTAAGCCAGATCCACCACAGGGGTGCTAGGTCCCAGACCCACACCTGGGGCAACATCCAGCCAATCTGCCCTTAGCAGCAGCAGAACTGGGGACCCACACCCACCAGTCAGCCCACGTAACACGTGCAGAGATCAAACAGGAGTCCCTGAGGTGCCGGAGAATAAAGCAGAAGAGACTAGCACTACAAGAGCTCTGAAAACTTAATTATCACAGGAATGACACAACTCACAAAAGTAGGCCAGGGCCTACCACTAAACCTAAATAGAGTAGCTGCCTACTAAAACAGAAGATTAAAGAGAACCAAGAGTCTCCTAACATTAGTAGCCTGAATGTACGGAATACAATTAAAACATAAAAATAACATGTCATACCAAGGGAAAAAAAACCCCACACTTATATGAGAAAAGATATTCACACGGATGCCAACACCAAAATGAATCACATGTTGGAGAATTTTAAAGCAGCTGTTATAAAAATGCTTCAACACTGGGGCGAGGGGCAGGTGCCGCCTAGAAGGGTCAATGGGGGGAAAGGGGGGCATCTGTAATACTTTCAACAATAAAGATAAATTAAAACAAACAAAAAAGATAAAATATTCTGATATTAAACATCTTAACAGAAGGGAAAAATGCAAATAGAGCCTCAGGGCGCAGTGTGGATTAGATAATAATAAAAGATCTAAAGTCCATGTGGTAGGTAGAAAAATTCCCCTCTCCCCAAGATGTACATGTCCTAATCTTTGAAACCTGTGAATGTGACCTCACATGGCAAAAATTTTGCACATGTTATTAAGTGAAATTAAGAATGAGAAGATTGTCCTGGGGTCTTTATGAAAGGGAAGCAGCAGGGTTAGAAAAGGGTATAATACCCTGAAAGCAGAGGTCAGGATAACAGCTATGAGCCAAGGAGCGAGTACTGACACATGGATATATGTGGATACAGATAACTATATGGATAACCTTGAAAACATGCTAGGAAAAATAAAAAATCACAAAGACCCCATATTGTATGACTCCATTTATATGAGATGTCCAGAACAGGCAAACCTATAGAGACAGAGTATAAATTAATTGTTGCCAGTGGTGGGAGAAGAGCAGAACGGGAAGTTACGGCTTGGTGGTACAGTATTTCTTTCTGGTGTGATGAAAATACTCTGGCCTGGCCGCTGTGGCTCAGTGGTTGAGTGTCGACCTATGAACCAGGAGATCAGGATTCAATTCCCGGTCAGGGCACTTGCCCTGTTTGCTGGCTCGATCCCCAATGTGGGGCGGGCAGGAGGCAGCCGATCAATGATTCTCTCTCATCATTGATGTTTCTCTCTCTCTGTCCCTCTCCCTTTCTCTCTGAAATCAATAAAAATATATAAATAAATAAAAGTAAAGTTAAAAAAAAAAAGAAAATACTCTGAATTAGACAGTGGTGATGATTACAAAACACTATGAATATATTAAAATCCACTGAATTGTGGATTTTAAAAATGGTAAATTCTATGTAAATTGTATTTCAATTTTAAAATGATAAAAGAACACTACAAACTGCTTTAACTCATAATTCTACAACTTAGAAAAAAATGGACCAAGTCTTTGAAAACAACTAACCAAACTCAGCCAAGATAAAGTAAGTAACTTGACTAATCCTGTAACTATTTTTAAAAATCAAATTTGTAATATAAAAGTTCTATAAAAAAACAAAATACACACCCCACACCCTGGCTGGGTGGGCTCAGTTGATTGGAGCGACATCCCAAACACCAAAATGTTTCGGGTTCAATTCCCAGTCAGGGCACATGCCTAGGCTGCTAGTTTGATCTCCACTTGGGGCATACCTGAAGCAACCGATTGATGTGTCTCTCTCTCTCTCTCTCTCTCTCTCTCTCTCTCTCTCCCCTCCTCCCACCCTCTCCCCATCCTCTCTCTCTGAAAAAACAACAAAAAAAATATCAATGAACATTTCCTCAGCTGAAGATAAAAAAAAAAAAAAGAATCGCCAAGATGGTTTCAATGGAGAATCTTACCAAACGCTGAAAGAAGAATTAATAGCCATTTTACACAATGTTTCCCAGAAATGGAACAAAGATACTTCCCAATTTATTTTATGAAGCCAGAATTACCAAGACCAAAACCAGACAAAGACATCACAAGAATACACAAACCAGTATCTCTCGTGTACTTAGCTGCAAAATTCTTAAAAAAATATTAGCAAATCAAATTCAGCAATAGATAATATACCACAACCAAGTGGTACGTATTCCAGATATGCAAGGCTGGTACAATATTTTTTTAAATCAAAATCAATGTAATACACTATATCAACAGGTTCAGGAAGAAAATCATATGATCATATAAATTGACACAAAAAAACATTTTTTTTAAAATCCAACATTAGCCATGATAAAAAATTCTCAGCAAACTAAGAATAGAGGAAAACTTCTTCAACTTCATAAAGAACATTTACCAAACAACAACAACAAAAAAACCTTACAGCTAACAACATACTTAATGATGAAAAATTAAATGCTCTCCCTAAAAGACTAGGGGAAAGGCAAAGATGTCCATTCTCATCACTCTTATTTATCATAGTAATGGAAGTCCTAGCCACCACAATAAATCAAGAAATAAATAAAAGACAACCAGAAAAGAAAAAATAAAACTATCCCTATTTGTACATGACATGATTATTTATAAAGAAAATTCCAAGGAATCTATAAGAAAAGTACCTAGAACTAAAAAGAGAGATTAGTAAGGTTGCAAGACATAAGATCAACACACAAAAACCAATTCCGCTTCTATAAACTAACAACAAACAAGTGGAAACCAAAATTTTAAAACACAATAACATTAACAAGTAATCCCAAAAAATGAGTCTTTAGGTACAAATCCAAAAAAATCTGAACAGAAAAAATATGCTTGATATTACAAAATTCCAATTAAATAGAGTAAAGAAGGACTAAATAATTTTAAAAACTCAACACAATAAAGATGTCAATACTCCCAAATTAACTACATATAGGTTTAATTCTATTCTATCAAAATCCTGGCAATGTATTTTGTACACATAGAAAAGCTTATTCTAAAATCAATATAATAAAAGCCTAAGTGACCATTAAGGCGGAATGACCAGAATGACCTGTCGCTATGATGCACACTGACCACCAGGGGGCAGACGCTCAATGCAGGAGCTGCCTCCTGGTGGTCAGTGCACTCCCACAGGAAGAGCGCTGCTCAGCTAGAAGCCGGGCTCACAGCTGGTGAGTACAGCGGTGGTGGCAGGAGCCTCTCCTGCCTACGCAGTAGTGCTAAGGAGCAGCGAGCAGGCGGGTGGTAAGGAGCTCGCTCCCGGACTGCGAGAGGGCACAGGCCGGGCTGAGAAACACACACACAAACACACACACACACACACAC